AAAAATATGGATTGTAATTTGTAAGTAATTCACATATGAACAACTCAAACAAACCAAATATCACCACATTAGAATTTGAAATTGTAACTTGCATAGCACAGCATCAATTCCTAAAGTTGTTCCTGCAAAATTTCTATATCCAAAGCTACCTATCCAATTCAATCTATCTTGGATAACACTTTCTGGGACTAAAAGTTAATTCATCAAAATTCAAAATTTGTACATCATTTACTTCTCATAAAATTAAAAAACTAAAGATTTAGCTCAATTGAATGACATCATAACCAAATCCACGCGTAACATGAAGAGAATTAGCTATGATCTCAATCTTACAACCGAAAATCCAAAAAGACTGATGAAAAAGAAAAAGAATAAATCCAAGCCTACAGATATCATACCTTGAATTTCCTGGATCTTCCGTACTAAGAGGAGCATAAGACCGATTCGGATTGAGAAGCGAAGTGCTGACCAGTTCTATCACTGGACCTCCGCCTGAGCTCGTCCCCTGCGGCAAAGCCAACGCCGAGGACGAGCTAGTTGGAACTCTAACGCTCTTCAACGCATCTCTATACTTCCTGAACAACAACGTCTTATTCCTCGTCGCCATAGCCAGAGAAACCTCAAATCTAAAAACTAAAATCCAAATCCAAAAACCAAATTCGGATTGAGATTTAGATTCCTAGCTTTAGATCTGACAATGGAGGTTCTCTCATGACGCGGAAAATTTAGTGAAGGAAAGTGAGGGGAAATGATAGGAAGTGAAGAAAAACTCAGCGAGTTTAGGAAAGGGGAGAGAGACGGAGGCAAAGAAGGGGGCGACGGTCACGTGGCCGCCGGCGGTGCTTGGCGGTTGAACGTGGTCGAACAGGCGGCGAGTCACGTACCGGCGATGATGGCACGGTTTCGTTTACCGGATTTTCTAAAGGCAACAAAAGAGAGAAATAACACGGTGCGCTTGGGGAATGTTTTAGCCTTAATAGAAATCTTTACTTGTAAACTGTAAAGTATTCTCAATATAGCTATTAGGAATATTATAAATTTATAATTATAATATATTATTAAATAAATAAATTACTTAATATAATATTACGAGATAGAGTTTAAATGAAAAAAAATTAATAATTATTTAATAATTTATAAATTTATAATATTAATATATTATTAAATAAATATGATATATTATTAAATAAATAAATTACTTAATATAATATTACGAGATAGCGTTTAAATGAAAAAAATTAA